TCTCTCTCTCTCTCTCTCTCTCTCTCTCTCTCTCTCTCTCTCTCTCTATCTATCTATCTATCTATCTATCTATCTATTAAATTTGCATGTCATCCATCTCATTATCAAGCTGGGAACATAAATAAGAATCCCATATCCCAGATAATAAAATTGGACACAGAGAAACATTTTAAATGGAATAACCAATCATTTTTTGGAAAAATTCACTGAAAGGATTGAAAGGAAACTGAACATCTAAAGAGGCTTCATACTGCACTGTGAAAACATGTCTGAGTTGACAACAGAAGTCCTCTGCTAAAAATAGAACAAACTGAATTATTCTGGGAATACAAAGTGCTATATTTATAAATCAGGACATAATTTCCACTTTAAATTAGCCATTTAGTTTCCCGCAATATGAAGTTTGAATACCTTCCTGAATCCATGTCTCTTGATTCCACACCAATCATTAGAAGTTGCAAAAAGGATTCTGTAGCCAGAGTTGGCCTTCTTATTACCAGTTTTGGTGGTAATTCATCCCTACATTATTTTCTGTCCTTCCTTCCTTCCTTCCTTCCTTCCTTCCTTCCTCCCTCCCTCCCTCCCTCTGTTTATTTTAATTTTTATGTTGTCTATCTTAAGAAATCAACTCTGGCAAATAACAACTGATAAAAAAACCCACATAAAATAGCATCTAAACCTAAAATGATTCTTGGGTTTCTTCAAAACGTCACATTACAGGCGAAAAACAAACGAAACCTTTCCTGAACTCAGATGTGCTGCTATTTTCATGATTTGTTACTATGAATCACATTTCAGAAGTGATGAAATTTTGCAAGTCCTTGTTTCAGTTGCTCTTCTAGAATGGCTGCTTCATTTTTCTTTGGGCTGGAAAATTGCTTAAAAATCAACTGTGCAGGGCCTGTGCAAGGGGAACTATGAAAATTTTGCTCTGAGGAACTCTTTTATCTCAAGCAATATGTAAATGAAATCACAACACCCCCTTTAAAAGGCAACCATTTACAACCATCGAGACAAAGTTTTTCCCAAATCTTTTATGTCGTATATCGTCCATTTATTAAAGAGAGGCAGAAATGATCCTGAGCCTAAACTGCTTATTTTTCCTTGTACTCCTTGCAGGTAATGTTTCACTCTATCTAGAGTTTCCTTTCAATTTCTGTTCTTATATACAGGAAATCTCAATGAAAAATCCTTCTTTTCAGGTGTACAATCTGAGGTCCAGTTGGTGGAATCTGGAGGGGATGTGAGAAGACTTGGAGAATCCCTCCGTCTCTCCTGCCAAGCCTCTGGATTCAGCTTCAGCGGCTACTGGATGGGCTGGGTGAGACAAGCTCCAGGGAAAGGCCTGGAATGGGTGGCCTTGATAACTGCTGGTTCAAGTACTTACTACTCAGACAAACTCAAGGGCCGCTTCACCATCTCCAGGGACAATGCCAAAAGCCAGCTGTATCTGCAGATGAACAACCTCAAACCAGAGGACACAGCAATCTATTACTGTGTGAGAGGAAGTGAATCTGAAGCCTGTCAACAACTTTCTCTAGTTTTGAAAAACTTATGCTTATACTCAGGTCCCATTAATCTCTAGAGGGACCTTGTGTTTCTGGTGGGAGAGGGGACAGTTTGGGTCATGTTTGCATGGGCTTTTCTTTGCTCCTTTTCCCTGCTTTAATGTGCCTCTGGGATGTTAGTGGGGTGGGCGAATGTCCCTTGGCCCATCTGTTTTGTCTCACCATCAGAGCAGAAGTGGTATTTAGCAGGTTCTGACCAGTTCTGGAGAACCGGTAGTGGAAATTTTGAGTAGTTTGGAGAACCGGCAAATACCACCTCTGACTGGAGATTTTATAGTATCCTTCCCCTGCAATGCCCACCAAGCCACGTCCACAGAAACCGGTAGTAAAAAAATTTGAATCCCACCACTGCACCAGAGGTGCAAGACCTGGGAACTGCCTCTTATCACCTTCTCAGCCCAAAGTTCTCATAACCTCTTTAACCTAACGCTCCAGCACATAAAATTCAGAGTCTTCCTAAACTCTCTCTGCTACTTTTATTGTCTTCCAATAAAAGTTCCTTTTGAAATCCATTTTGTTTCAAGAGTTTTTCTTTCTTGAGAAGACTGGCGAGGCAGGACCTTACAGTCCTTTTATTTCTTTCCTTGCTGAATATCACCAGTCTCATACTTTCCTACATGTTATTCATTTTCCATTCCTTCTCCATTAATTTATTCTGAGTATGCTTAAACTTGAGTTTCTGTCCTTCTTAAATCTGTATAAAATCCCCTGATGCCAGAAACTTTCTCCCCTCAACTGGTCTGTCCCAAGACTGTCAAATATTGACAATTACACATTTCTCCTCTCAAGAAGCCTTCTGGATCTCTATACTTTGGACTGTCTTGTCATCATTGCTTGATGGTTATTCTTACCACCATCTATAAAACAGGAGATATCTTGACATGTTGTGGTCCATACTAATTTGAAAGATGTATCCTCTCCCCATTTTGGACACCAGGGGACAATGTTCACACATGAAACTCTTATGGGTGTGGGTGGGGGAGGGAATGAATTAATTCTAAATAGATATTGTCTGATTTTGGAGGTTTGACAGTTGTTGTTTCTGTAAATGTTCCCTGAAAATCTGTGAAGAAAAGTCCACCTTTCCAGAGGCTACAATCCTCCCTGTCAAGCAGAGAATTGTTATGAAAAAAAAAAAAGGGATGTGTATCATTTCTGGTTTTGTCATCAGAAAAACTATCCAGGTAGTTCAAATCTTTGATGGAAATGAAAACAACATAGAGGAATGTTTTGTCAGGTTTGCTGGCCATGCAAAAAATCATCCCCCCAAAATGTGGATTACAGATATGTACATTAACCCAGAAGATTTTGTTAAGCTACAATCGAGACTTTTATTTTTGTAGTAATCGACAGGAATATAAAAATAATAATGAAGCTATATTTATATATTTAGCAACTACGGGGAGATTGTTATAGAAAATGGAAAGGTTTGACACTTAAACAGATTAACAGATTTGGAAGGGACCTTATAGGTCATCTAGTCCAACCCCCCGCCCAAGCAGGAGATCTCTGGGCAAGTAACGACCAATAAAAACACCACACATACTAGCATCTAAAACAAAAATGATCTTGGTCTTTGTTCGAGTTCCTCTTCTGTAAAGGCTGCTTCATTTTTCATTGGGCTGGAAAATTGTGTAAAAATCAAATGTGTAGTGAGTGTGCAAGTACAACTTTGAAATCCTTGCTCTGAGAAACTCTTTTATATTAACCAATATGTAAATGAAGGCACAATTTCCCCTTTAAAGGCAACAGTTGGTTTCCTTTTTCCAGTGACAATCACCAACACAAAGGTTGTGCATTTTCTCAAAATCTCTCATTTCAATTCCCCTCCATTCGTTAGAGGGAGCCAAAATGACCCTGTGGCTAAACTTGGTATTCTTTCTTGCATCCCTTGGAGGTAATGTGTCATTCTATATCAAGTTTCCTTCCCTTTGCTATTCCTGTATATAGGAGATCTTACTGAAGCATCTTTCTTTTTAGGTGTCAAATCTCAAGTCCAGTTGGTGGAGTCTGGAGGGGATGTGAGAAGACCTGGGGAGTCCCTCCGTCTCTCCTGCCAAGCCTCTGGGTTCACCTTCAGTGGTTATTGGATGACCTGGGTTAGACAGGCTCCAGGGAAAGGACTGGAATGGGTAGCCTACATACGTGCAGGTTCAAATCCTTCCACTTATTACTCAGACAAAGTCAAGGGCTGCTTCACCATCTCCAGGGATGATGCCAAAAGCCAACTGTTGTCAATGCTTGTTCATCATTTGTTCCCTGGAATCACCATTGAGAAGTGGGGTATTTTTATAAGACTTTGTTTTAGTTACTCTCCTGTAAAGGCTGCTTCAGGTACTGGATGCACTGGGTGAGACAGGCTCCAGGGTAAGGACTGGAATGGGTGGCAAGGATCGGAACATCCTCATCTCCAATTAGCTATTCAGACAAAGTTAAAGGACATTTCGCCATCTCCAGGGATGATTCCCACAGCCAGCTGCATTTGCAAATGAACAATCTTAAATTGGAGGAAACGACAGTTTATTACTGTGCAAGAGACACAGTGAGAGGAAGTGAATCTGATGCCAAACAAGAGACTTCTCATCAGAGAAGCTGTAGTAATTTATGAGTTTATGACAGAAAGTTGAATTTCTGTAACGGGAACAGCCAATAAATCTCCTTTGGAAGCTCAGGACCGACCCTGGCCTAAGTAGTGTGGAACCTGGTTAGCAGTTTGGTAGGAAGAAAAAAAAAACAATCTCTGGTCAGTAGATGAAACTGGTACTTTTTAAAAACTTGAAATGTACTTCAAGGCACCAATATGGATTGATATTCCACAATTCATCCTTGATATATTTTGCAGTTCAGTCCTTTCTGATTCTCAGTATTGACAATTCTCCGGAATCTAACTCCATTGTATATGTTGTTCTTTTTTCATTTCTACTATATAAATTAAGTTGATTCAATCCCCTTAATCCTGAAGCTCTAGCTGAGTCAAGGGAGGGAAATAGTGGTTATTGCAAACCTCCCCTTCCAGAAATTCTATGAGACTGAATGTTTTCAACTGTCTTCCTGCCTTGATAGCTTTTGCCACAACTTTATACCATATAAAATAGGTGTTTTGACTTGGCCTACCTCCCAGTAACAACTGGGAGTGAGAACAATTGGAATCTCTCAATCACCTTGCTTAACAGGGAGATTTAAGCGGGAAAAAAATGAAAAAAAAAGTCTCATCTTGTAGATTTGGATATGTGACCAGGTAAAACCAGCCCCAGAATGTCTACATTGCAAAGTAAGACATACATTTATCTATTCTAAGAACTATATATATATTTATTAGAACTTCTGGTTTAATGAAGCCAGAAGAAATTGTCAGAGGATGTCCAGTGTACACAAAGGCTTCTATTCTTTTTTTTTTTTTTTTGGGGGGGGGGTGTTGTTTGTTTGTTTGAAACATTTTGCCACTTATCCAAATAGCTTCTTCAAGACTGAAGAAGAAAAGAAGTCCAGGTGCCAATGACTCAACTTCCAGGGGCGGTGAGATTTTTCAGCTGAGTGAAGGATGAATAGAGAACATTTCCCCAAAACTATGATACAAAAACACCTTCATCCTCCATCTGAAAACAGTTTTGGACCTTGAAGACATTTGGAGTTGTTTCTTCATCTGATGTCCCAAAGATGCTTTTTCAAGAGGCAATTGGACTTTCTGGTTTTTTTTAAAAAAAAAACACACAGATGTTTCACTTCTCATCCAAGAAACTTCTTTGGCTCTTGTTGGATGAAAAGCTGAAGAAGCTTCTTGGATGAAAAACAAAACATCTTAAAAAAAACCAGAAAGTCCAGTTCCCCGTTGAAAAAAGCACCTTTGGGACAACCATGACCTGGATGAGTGAGAATCTCCATAGACCTTCACCAGATCTTCCCTTTGAATGTTATCAGGAAAGCCATATCTCCAGTCCCTGAGCAAAGAGCATCATATAGAAGGGCTGTCTTCTTTATTCTAATCAGTATGCAAATTCAGAAAATGC